GTTAAGTCTTAACCCCAGCTCTTTCGTGTGAGCGAGAACGACATCTCGATGTCGAACCGCCATCCGCTCTGACTGAGCTAATATCAACCAATCGTCGATGTGGTTGAGTCGTGGAAGTGTGGGGTGAGAGTGCAAGGCCTAAGGAAGAACCAGTATTGGTAGGCTTTTGCCCCCAAAAACGAACCTCAGGAACTTCCTGTGATGAGGAAGGATGGAGATATGGAAATATGCGTCTTTCAGATCGATCGTGACAAACCAGTCCTCGGACCTGATCTGAGACATGACTTGTTTAAGTGTGAGCATTCTGAACTTCAGTCGCATGACTAAGCGGTTCAATAGGCGCAGATCTAAAATGGGATGCAACCACCGCCCCCCCCCCCCCCCCCCCTCCCCAATAGTGTTTTAAGGTCAATTTTATATATTAATGTATAGCGTATAAAATTTTATTGGATATTGGTATTGATTTGGCAATTGTGATATTTACTACTGGAGGTCCCCTCTTTCCTTGTCTTAGGGCAGTGCAGCGCACCCCCTCAGATGCCCATTCTGGACAGAGAAGGTAGGCATACCATGTTGGTTTTGTAAGGGTATGCCTCAGACATGCTCTGTTAGATATGTTCAGCTTGCTCAAGCAGCAAGAGTATTTGCATTAACTTGGCACATATAGAAGTACATTGATGTGTATAATGGATAAAAAAGGAATGACATGTTGATAGCTGTTAGAAATAGACCATCTGCATCGTTAAACAGTTGGTATGGGAATGTATGCTGCATTTGTAAGTAGCTGAGGTTGAAAGCACAAATGACAAGCTAGTATTTGTTAAAGCTCTTACGTTATTATGTGAAATGTAAATTTTTTTTTTCTTTTAAAGACATTCTTTGTAAATCGTCCTTTTGATTAGTGTTTACTTGTTTAGGTGGATGCAGTGGCTATTCCTCTAATGCCTGTAGGCAGTTTGTGCCATGTAAAAAGTGCCTAATGGATAATTGATATCATTGCACAGGCAAGGTTATGGTTGGTTATTCTATCACATAGTGCCATGCTGAAGCATATGATTTAAGTTTTGTGATTGTGAAGTTAAGTTTTGTACTTTTGAAACTGTATATTTGAACTTTTTCTGGGACATCGTCTTTCCCTGTTGAAAATTACGTTAAAGGCATTTTTTGAGTGTAAATTTTTTTCCTATGGTGATGTAAAATGTCACAGATCCTGTTGATGTAGTGTGCATACCAAAAGCTAATTTAATTATTTGCACGAGTCGATTACTTACAAAGTCAATGCAAAGTAGGGGTGTGCATCTTCATAACTGAGCAATACGCGTCTTGATTTGTAGCCAACGATACACTACATTAAAGATACATATGAAGCAGCTACTGATGCGATGCGATCCAATTCACCCCATTACGATGCAGTGCGATCCGATTTCAATTTGATTCAACACAATGCAATGGGAAAAATATGATGCTATCTATGCAATTCAATATGGTACAGGTAGTTCACTTTTATTTCTTTGGTTCAGACAGACAGCCATGTTAATCTATATTATGTGACTCTCAGGGCACGCCTTGGTCTCCGTAGTGTTGTGATGTGTTATATTCATGTAGCAGCAGTGGAGATGAGAGAACACACTTAAGAAACTGTTTAGAGAGGAGAAAGTTATTGGTCACTTTCTAAATAAAGTATAGCACATCTTCTAATAATTATATATAAATAGTTTTTTTACCAATGCAAATATGTTAGAAACTATAGATATAAATGCCAACTTGTATCCGATGCAAACTTTTTTAAACCGATGTTTTACATTGTTAACTTGTATGCCGATGCACCAATGCAAATCAGTGAATCTTACCATCCCTAATGCAAATACATGAATTTGCAGCGGGTGTCGCATTTTCCACAAATCTGTGATATACACATTATTTGCATCTTCTGTGCAAGTTGAAAAATTTCAGCTTGAGCAGATAATTCATGTGACACGTTGTCACGCAAGCCAATCAGGGAAGAGCTTATTGACATGTCCGGTTTCACATGTCCGGTTATATCAGAAAATGGATGAGAGCATTATGCAATGTTTCTATTCACACGAGTGACATGGAAAAACATTCTGGGAGTAATCTAGAGCAACAACGCAATGCGAATATTCATTTAGCTTTGCACACACCATAACTATTACTGAACCTGGAGCATTATGTTCAGTTGTGTTTTTTTGGTTGCATGTAGCTTTCAGGTCCTTGACTCAATTACTCATTGAAAGTCTAAACATCTTTGTCACGTTTTTATCCTGTAGGTCAAGTAATCCTATTGATCGTAGCTAGGGATGCATCGATCCTATACTTAGTATTAGAGCCTGACTGATATGGGTTTTTTGGGGCCGATACCGATATTAGGGAGTAAAAAAATTGGCCGATATCGATAAATCGGCCGATATTCTTTGTGTATATTATAGTACAGTACCAGTCAAAAGTTTGGACACTTTCCAATTCGTTTGTCCAAACATTTGACTGGTACTATATATAGAATACAGTATATACATAAACAGAATATATATACATAAACACATTTTTTGCAATGATCACTCAAATGTGGTGATCAAACACTTATAATGGTGACAGAGATATGTAAGGGCATTTAACAATTTAACAAACTTGCGATGAGTGCGATGCACAAAGTAATGGGGTGTTAGTTGTAACACACGTGGTTTGAATATTTATTTTACCATAGTAACATTGAATAATAAAAAATTTACTTACGCCAGAATTTAATTTAAAATGAGAAAAATCTGCTATTATTTTAATCTCCAATCTCTTATTTATCAGTTCAGATATTTTTATTTTTTTATTTTTTTTTAATGCTTTGATTACTAGCAGAAGACATTAACCAGTTTTAAATTCCATTTGCGCAGATGGGGCACGTTGTAACACTGCGTTACAATGTGCTATTCTATGACATTAGCGATGTAATTTACACGATTTACTTTAATTAATTTGAATGAGAAACAGGTGAATAAAGACTGACAGTCAATGTTTAATGTTTAGAAATTATGTCAAGACATGTAAAGCATTTTTGCTCGTTTATGTGGGCCATCCCAAGCATGGTTGCAATGTGTTCATTGTCAAACTCCAAAATCAGATTATTTTTAATTCTTAAAAGCCATTATTTTATTTGAACAACAACAACAAAAAAAAATATATATATTTATTAACAAAATATTTTAGTTTGTCTTGTATATTTTTTTCATTTGATTCTTCAGCTCGAGGAGCCCTCTCAAACGCCACCCTCCACGTGTTGGAAGCCCCCCGGGATCGCTAGATCGGTTGGCGCCGGATCGCAAATTTAACCACCCGTAACTCCCGAACCCCGGGGGCGGTCTCATTCGAAAGAGGGCCTCGAGACGTACACTTGATTCGCGTTCGAGAGGGTTCCTTGAGCTGAAGAGATCCCCCGAATTTGGTGCGGATTCGCCAAGCCGTTACGGAGATATGGCCGTTCAAAGTTTCAATGGTTTTCCATTGACTTAAGCTTTAAAGCGTTTCATCCAGGTCGCCAGTAGCAAACAATGGAGCACGCTCTGCTGGACAAACTAAGTAATTACACCATTTCAAGCATTTTATCTGCATTTATATGTTCTGTAAAAAAAAATTCATATCGGCGGCATATTCGCCGATACCAATATATCGGCGACAGGCTCCTAGCGGCAAAACGATATATCGGTCGGGCTCTACTTAGTATCGGTATCGGCTCCGATACTGACATTTTCTGCCGGATCGGGTATCTGTCAGACGAGACCGATCAGAATCCGATATTGTGCGAATACTATTGTGTTATTGTTAAGCCCCACAAAAGCACAAAAACATTATAAAGCACCATAAAGTCAAAGTCCAAGTGTTCTGAAGCCATTCCATAGTTTAATGTGAGGTACAGATGAATATTTAAGTCATTAAATTGGAGCGGCAGTACTTATCACACATTTGACAAGATTTTATGTTTGTCATTGGTGCTCAGGATCTGCAAATCATTCTCCATCATCCTGTCAGACATTTCTCCTTACTCTGTGTATGTGGTAAGTGAACTTTCATGTAATGTAATGCAACAGGCTACCGCTAGCAAGCGGCTAACCTTTTAGTGGCTCTGTATAACGCGCCATTTGTTTCACGTTTTGGGCACACCCCTAACCCCGCCCCGCCCCGCCCCCCGATGCCATCGTCCATCACGATGTTTCACTGCAGACATCGTCAGATGCCAATTTGGTAGACATCGCCCAACCCTATTATATATAAATACATTTATTTGTTTTCATTAATGTATTTTACAACAGTATAAAGAGCAATGTGTAAAATTTTACCAGAATTAGTCCTACACTTATTCGCTTTTATTTGTTCCCCACTAAATAATGTTATTCCGCTGAATGTTTAGATTTTATAAAATTGTGCACTCATGATTTTTCTAGAATAACTTTTGCTGCTAAATTATCCACTAACCTAATTTATAATTGTATTTTTGTCATAGATTATGTATTTTTTCATTCGTTATTTTTCATTGAAATGAAGTCGTCTATATTTAGTAGATTGTGTTTAACACAAAAAAGAGTGACGATCAGAAGTATAGAAATTCTACATTGATTTAAAAAAATAAAACTGATCTGATCTGAAAAAATGGTATCGTTGCATCCCTAATCGTAACTTGGATCATTAATTTCAGTGTGCAGTGACTTTAGAGCAGGGGTGTCCAAACTCGGTCCTGGAGGGCCGGTGTCCTGAAGAGTTTAGCTCCAACCCCAATTAAACACACCTGAACCAGATAATCAAGCTCTCACTAGGCATACTAGAAACTTAAAGGCAGGTGTGTTGAGGCAAGTTGGAGCTAAACTCTGCAGGACACTGGCCCTCCAGGACCGAGTTTGGGCACCCCTGCTTTAGAGCATGTGACTCAGGCATGGATTCTTGCTTGCTAGTAAATGATTCCCATTTTCTCTCTCTCATTTTCTCTCTTATTCTTGTTCACTCACTTGCCAATCGCTGTAATTCAGGGATCTTCAAAGCCAGCAAGGTTGAGAGACAAAGAGATGTAGCCAGGGCCGTCCTTAGGGGGGTGCAACTGGTGCGGGCGCACCGGGCCCCGAGCTTGAGGGGGCCCCCCGGTGAACGGACCGAGGGGAACCCCACCTAGTTAGTACCCACGTAGTTTTGGGGGTACGTGTGGCTTATGTGCAAAACTCGTGCAGCAGACGCAAAGCAAGCAAGCAAGTCATTAGGGCTGTGAGTGACTGTGACGGGGCTGGATCTTTTGTGCAAATAATTCACATTGTACAAATTATGCTTTTAATGTGATCTAAACTTTAAACGTACATTAAAATAGAAACAATAAAGTTCTTGAACATCAAATATAGGGAACAGGTTGGAGCCCATCTCTTGTCTCATATCTTCATGTTTTCTCCTAATATTCCACAGCAACTCGCACACCATTTGTAAATGGGCAGAAAAGCAAATAATATTTTCAGCACGAGTGAGGCATTTATATTGGATGTTGAGCTGTGGGGTAAGAGAAACTGAATACTGGCACATGTGAAATACTCATGTGTCCTGCTGAAAAAATAGATATAAAAAAATGTATAATTCATTCAATCAGCTTGGTAATTCATTACTACGACTAATTAATTTGTGGCTACTGTTCATGTTTCATTCATTTTTTCCCTTGTTAACCTATGATTTAACTAAAATGAGGGAACAAATTAAGTCGTGAGAACGAACTCATAATTCGTGGCCACAATATCTTTTGTGTTTCCCCGCAAAATTCATAATAAAAAATGTGTTAAAATTAATTATAATACCAGTCACCAGCCATGCTAATTGATCTTATGAATATTCACGTATTTATTGATCTTTTCAATTTCCTTTTATATAGTGTCATTAGGGATGGGTACCGAGAACCAGTATTTTTTTAGAGCGGTACATAATTGGGTCGATACCGGAATACCGATAAGCTTCAGGACAAACGATACTGTTATTGATATGTGCATTATTTTATCTCTGTATACTTCAATGTTAACGTCGAATTAGATGCTGCTGCTTGTCATTTTCCTTCACTGAATGATGTGGCCGAGGTTTGCTCGACGTGCGTGTGATATCCATTCATATGCGCGGTGTGTGTTTGCGTGCAATCATTCATCGCGGCAAGAGTGAAACGTTTGAAAGTGTGGGCTCACGTTACAAAACTAAGTGACACCAGTGTCAGATGCAATATATGCAGTAGTGTAATAGTGAACAAAGGAGGCAACATTAGTAATATAATGAAACATTTACTAACAAAATACAACTTCTACCTCAAGCTATGCGCTGTATTAGGCTATGTCTCCCACCTCCAACTGCAACTCGCGAGACACATTCACATCAAATCAAGGTGATTCGGTATAGTTACACTCACGAGACACTGCACTTATTCGCAATCACAAAAGTACATTATTTCCGCGTTCTTTAAAGCCTTGCCGGTTAAACATTTCATTTACGTGCTGTTCTAACATGTGCTAAAGTGAAAGTAGACCAGTGAGAGAAAAACGGATGTGTGCTCTTAAATCGGCAGTACTAAACATGCTGCCGCTTGTCATTAAAGGGATAGTTCACCCAAAAATTTTAATTGTCATTATTTACTCAGTCATGTTGTACTAAACATGTATTAATTTTTTAGGGCTGCAACTAACCATTATTTTGATAATCGATTAGTTGGTCGATTATTTTTCCGATTAATCGGATTAAAAACAAACAATTTTCTTTTTTTATTTTATTGACAAAAACACACTACTCCACATTCTGCCCAGTGTCCTTAAAACAAACGTTCCAAATGAATGCTATGGAAACATACAGTGCTTAACAATTTATTAGACCACCTGCCATAATAAAGAGAAGACCTATTTTAGGAATCTGTCAAAAAATTGTTTAAATCCAAAAAATGTTATTGTCATTTATAACTAAATACTTTTATTCACATAACAAAAATGGCCTCCTATGCCCTTCATAGCTTGCATTCTTGCTGGCATTAAGTACTTTTTGACTGTAATTGGGTATCTGAAAAAAACACTATAAAGCTCTCTGCCTTTCTTTCATAGATAACAGCAATAATTATATTATAGCATTAGAAACAGCCTACTACTGTTACTAAAGAGCTTATGCATATTGGAGGACTAACCAATACAGAAAGCTAAAAAATGATTTTGGTAATCACCAGTACTGTTAGTTTAGAGCAGTAGTGGCACAAACCATAATTTGTTAAAAACCTTACATATATTTTTTTTTAATAAATTTGTTAAGCATTGTATATAGTGAATATATTTTAAATCTCTGCATTAAAAATGTAAATATTAATAAAGATGATAAAGACGAATAAAATCACAAACTCCGTGGTAACCAATAGGTAAGAGTAATGTTCTGCAGGAACGCGTTCACTTTGACCACAGTCACGTCATAGCCCGATTCGGACGGTAATTCTTTCTCATATGGACGTCTGTAAAATAAATGTACTTATCACCTCAGTGATAAAACTCATGGATTCCGAATAGGCCTTAGTGTCATTTCTTTATCCCGTTAAAGGCGGTTTTGATGCGTCTGATATTTATATTCAGACAATTACACGCTGTTATCCCCTTACAGTTCCTACTCTCATAAAATGTGCAATGCATGTTGACCGTTAAACCTTTATTTAACTTTCAACAACAGATATTTCAGCACAATTAATGTTTTTGCGCTGATTATTAATTGTCTCTGTTTTCCGTCTGTCTGACGCGCTGGCGCTCATTCAGTAAAGATTGAAATTGAACACCGACTGTCAGGACGGACCTTTATGCAAAAATGGAAATGCTCATGTCAATTTGTGTCATTTATACATAAGGATATGACCGTTAACTGAAAGTTTTTTTGCGCTGAGGATGCACATGCATCTGTTAAAGCGCCTGACAGGGCAAGCCATTACTCTAATGCATTAGCTTAAAGCTTAAAATAAAGAATTCTCATGTTTTGGGCAGCTTGGATCACATAACTCTCCTGCAGCATCTCATTCTGTTTCCTCCACTATTTTAGATGCATTTTGTCGATAGAAATAAGTAATTCAGTGCTTTAATTTGACGCGACAGGCTGAAGTTGGACAAGTATGTAAATTATGTTGGACGTGCACTGTGTGCAGACCCGATTAATCGATAATGAGAATCGTTGTCGATGATTTTCATAATCCATAATCGATTTGATCGATTAGTTGTTGCAGCCCTTTAATTTTTATTTATTCTTGTGCTGAACACAAAAGAAGATATTTTGAAGAATATGGGTAACCAAACAGTTGCTGGTCCCCACTGACTTTAATAGTAGGGGGAAAAAAATATGAAAGTCACTGGGAACCAGCAACTGTTTAGTTTCCCACATTCATCAAAATAACTTATGTTCAACAGAAGAAAGAAACTCATTCAGGTTTAAAACAACTTGAGAGTGAGTAAATGACACAATTTAAATTTTGGGGTAAACTATTCCTTTAATGTTAATAAAATAAAACACAAAGAGAAAAATAACTCACTGCTCTTGACTGAAGAACTGTTGCTAAACAGTTGCTAAAGTTCAGCAGTAATAAAATAACTTGAAATTTTCAACTACTTTTCACTTCATATCTTTTTGCACCAAATAGTATCGATAATACCGGTATCGGTATCGATAAAATGTAAACGATACCCATCCCTAAGTGTAGGGCTGTGACGGTGGCAGATTTTTATCACCGCGGTGGTAATGGACCAACTACCGCCGTCAGGTGTGTTTGATTATGGTTAGAGCTAAACTCTGCAGGAAAGTGGATCTCGTGGGCCAGATTTGAGGATCCCTGGACTACGAGATGGACACTTGCTGCTTGTACTTTGTAGCACTTTACTTTTTTACTTTTGGATTTCATTTAGTTTAATGAAATAGTTTAATAAAATATTCTTAAGTAAAATTGTAGATTTTTTTTTTGTGGGAAATTAATCGTTTAGATGAATCGATTAATCAAATTAGTCGATATATTAATCTAAATAAAAGTAGTCGTTAGTGGCAGCCCTAATCAAATATAAAATAACACTGCATGTGTTCACTGTATAAATTAAATCGAATAAATCTGTATTAAAGCTACAAAAGTGATTTTTCTTTGTGCTTTGTTGACAAATCCCCGACAGAAAACTGATGCTGCGTTCTCTTTATGACATACTGACACAAAGTTCAAATGATTGGCAACGGTCGCTTTGTCGCGTCCAGTGTAGACAGACTTTAGGGGCGCGTTGGAAATCGCCAGTCGTGATATTTTCTCCTTCTTTCCAAAGCGCTCGAGAGCTTGCGCTTTCGTGGCGTCTGCCGTTGCTAAGAAACCGTGACCTGCGCTCTCCACGATGACGCGGAAGTTTCAGCAAAGAATAAATGGATTTCCAGCACTGAAAATCGCGTGCAGTAGCTCTGCTACTAAATGTATTTAAAATGGGTATCTCTGTACAGCTGTCGTGTCCGGTGTAGACATAATGTCTGTGTGAGCAAAGAAAACAATCAGTATAAATATAACGATCAGTAGCCTATACTAAACATCCTGCGATGTGACTATCACGGATGCGCATATCGCGATATCGATGCTGAAACGATATATTGTGCAGCCCTAGCTTTACGTTCTGTCACGCAGAGCTCTCACACTGCAGTGCTCTGCAGAGAGAGCAGAAAAGACTGTTTGGGGGGGAGAGGAGGGGGATCGGGGCCATTGAGTTCAGTGGGCCGTGGCTCAGCAAAAACATTGTCTGTTTGTCTGAGCGAACATTGTATAAGCAAGCAAAACCCACTGCTGTGAGCCGACCACGTTTTGCAATCTCTGTAAGAGGTGGAGATCAAGTGTAATAGTCTACTGTGTGTGTGACACTCTGTTATCTGTTATACATTTGAATGTCATGCATATATATGTAATATTAATAGATGGGTTACAACAGTCAGCCACGCAGCACGAGTTTCACTAGTATTTCCATTGCAATAATGCTTCTGCTTTTCGTTTTGAAGCACATGTGCCAAGCAATTTTACTATTTGTTGCTTCAAATCATTAATTTCCCAAATTTTAATGCGAGATTTTTTAAAATGAATTATAAGTTAGTCATTATTTAATTATTAATCACATTGTATCTATAAATGAGTGTCTCTTCCTTAAGATTTTTTGTTGTTGTTTCTTTTCTTCCACAGGGCGATTAAAGCATTTCAGGAGGTGCTTTACATTGACCCTAGTTTCTCAAGAGCCAAGGAGATCCATCTGCGACTCGGCCTGATGTTTAAAGTCAACACAGACTACGAGTCGAGCCTCAAGGTATGTCTTTTAACGGCCAAGTCTCCTTCTCTATATTACATTTAAACATTTATGCTTTTGGCTAGGGGTGCTCCGATCAGGATTTTTGAGGCCGATCATAGAAAGAAGTATCTGCAGATACCGATAATCTTCTTTTTAAAGTCTTCTTTTTATCATGTAGAATTATTTATAGTGATGATCCAATCAAGATTTTAGACATTTACTCAGGGCCTGAATTTCATTTTTGAGCTTAAGCGGTGCAGAAGCAGCACTGACTGTGCTTTCACACAATCATTTTGATTTCAAATTCAAACAGTGTTACTTAAAATGCTTTTTCAGCATTGATTCTTTTTTTACACTGTACAGTAATACAATCTTTCATAGATGTGTTAAACGCAATAAATATAAGAAACACATTATTCAATGCTTTTTACTTGTGCATTTACTTCCACATTTAAATATTTAGTTGCTCAAGCAAGTGGCAAAACATTTAAACTACTTTTCTTACGTTATCACAAACATTCTAAATTAAAACTTATCATTGACAGAAACAGTCAGCACTACTGCCTTTCGCATTAAATCTTTATTACAAACAATTCTGCGCTCATAAAGCACTTTATTTTCCTACCTCCACGAGTGCCATCTATTATTGCCTTGTTTATCTAAAAGTGCTCTTTTGCTTTAAACCTAGCCAAAAGCCATAGCCTATGTGTTGACTGTGAAACACAATAGACTTTAAATATATGCATTTATGGTGTAATTACTACATTTTCGTGTAAAGCCATGTTCATATTTACCGCAAACAATGCGCTGTTACTTTAATTCAGCGCTTGCATCGCAGAGAAAATAGGCTCGTTGCGGAAAAAATCTCTGCACTGCTGCAGACGCACCGCTCGTGGAACGCACTGCTGGACAGCAACCGCATGCAGTCTGTGAACGCTTTAATCCGGTAACATGAGCGCGGGTAAAATACGCACTGCATACGCAGTGCAAACGGAGTAATGTGAACCTGGCGTTATGCGTGTGCGCTGCGAGTGGGCATGAGCGCACAGTCTCCAGGAGAGCGTGCGAGCGCTGAATGGTTAAACACTGGCAAGAAATAAAAAGAAATGCAATTTATAAACTTTAGTGACGATGTGACACTGCCTCGATTGTGCGAGTGTAAATTCCTGTGTCAACTGTGCAGCTTGCTTATAGTGCAGATGCGATGTGATTTAAAGCCATTTGCGCATTTTGAGAGAGAAAGAGAGAGAGTGCGCGGTGATGCACTCATGCATCCTTTTCCCTGTTTGTGAAATTACGTCTCACATAAGGTTTTCAAACTTCATAAGTAATTTAATGAAGAAATATGAATTGTACCTCACCTTAAGCATTATAATTATTTTACCCGTGCTGGACAGAGACTGAGACGGTGCCGCTGCATGTCATGCTAATCCTTTGATGACCGGCACGTCATCAGCTTGAGATCGTTTTTTTGAGATCGGCCTTTTTAGAGACCGCCGATCAATCCATCCCAAAGCGATTATCGGCCGATCAATCGGAGCACCCCTAGTTTTGGCATGTGACTAGCATTGTATTCTAGCATTACATTTTTGAATTTGTGCATGCCCTGGAAATCCAACCCTTGAACTAAAAACCTTGGCATTGCTAGTCCCATGCTCTACTATTGGAGTTACAGTAGCTGCATGCTCTATAATGTATTTTCTAACAGGCTTAAATGTTGGTTAAATATGCCTTAATACAAGATACTGGCCTTCTGAATGTGTTTTAGGGCCCAAGCACCGATGGTGTGAGGACCCTTTTGAAATGTATGTGTTTATTATTAAATATTGTGATGCTGGTGTCAGTAGTTTAGTTCAGACTGTTGGCATTGTCATTGGTCAAGGATAGTATTGGAGAAGTTTTCCCTTTGAAACGGCAGGCCACATTGTCTTATTTGATGCACACCTTTTACAGTTTGCCTTTTTAGCAGTATGATACCTGTAGATTAACTTGGTTATACAATAGGTGTCATTTCTGTGGGCAGATGTTTTTTTCTGTTATGCAAAGAGTGTTAATACTTATAATTAGGGCTGCACAGTTAATCAAATGTGATTGTCATGTTCATCTTGTCAGTAAAGCCGGTTCTGTTATTAGTAGCAGGGCTCCAGACTGAAAAAATATTAATTTGCGAGTGAAGTTTTTGCTGAGGTCGCCACTGGCGACTATATATATTTACATGTTATAACTTGCATGTAATGCCTTTTTTCCTGCTTGTTTTGCGATAGTTTATAATCGATACTGATATGGCTTCTTGTTATCAAGATCTTTAGTCTGTAAGCATTGTTCTGTTATTGCGTGAGCTTCATATTATTTGTAGCGCACTTGCCGTCCAATAATTGCAATAAGCTTTGTGCTCCATTGAACAAACTACAACAGGTAAAGCTTTCAGCTGTGTGGATAGTGGCAATATCGTTAACAATTCTCGTTTATAATCATTACTAATATGGCTTCTTCTTAACAAGATCTTAGTCTATGCGGTGTTCTATTAAAACGTGAATTTCATATTATTTGAAGTGCACTTGCCGTCCAGTAATCGCAAAAAGCTTTGTGCTTTGTTACTTTTTAATAAACAAAGTATCAGCTTTAATATGATTCCAAATTCATAACGAAATTCAAACAATAAATACAGTTTTGTTTTTGGTGCTATTTAATGCAGCAGGCGCGGTTGCTTTAGCGCCTCAGTTCAAGCGGCAAGTGAACCCATTTAATCTTTCTCTTTACTATTATACATAATAAACATGAATTAACATCAAAAGGTAGGCTATTTTATAAGAGAGCCTACAGTACAACTTACTGAAATGTCTCATGCAAAAGCTCATTCAGTGTTTCAAAATTTATTATTGCGTAAAGCTTGTAAAGCTTGTAAACATTGCAACATAATATAGGCTACATTTACCTCAGAATTAACATTCGGTGTCCCAAAGCTCATCAGTCAGCTAGAAAAATAACTATAAAGAGGAGCATTTTGCAATATTAATGCGCTATTGCATATGAATATTTTTACTTAACCTGTTGTCTAGATGATTCAACTCCTCCTATAAAATTGCATTTTACTAATTAAGAAAAACAGACTGAAAGTGTGAAAGACACACACTCTTAAAAATAAAGGTGCTTAAAAGGTTCTTTACAGAACCATTTTTGGTTCCACAAAGAACCATTCAGGTTCTTTAAAGAACCATCTCTTTCTCAACTTTTTATAACCTTCTTTCGCCATGAACCTTTTGTGAAACGTAAAGCTTCTTCAGATGTTAAAGGTTCTTTATGAAAGCATTTTGACAAAAAAGCATGGCATCGTGAATCACCTTTATTTTTAAGAATGTATGACAACATTTACAGGATGCATTGAGGAGGAGCCCAAACTACACTCAGTGGCCAAGTGATGCTTATGGTCCATGATATTGGTACAGATTCTGTGTAATGAGCAATTTTTTGTGACTAATATTTCAGTAGTTGGAAAATACATTTAGTTCCCACTTTAAGTCAACCTTATATACAGTAGTAACGTTTGACAACACTAATAAACGTTGCGCACGCACAAAATGGGCATAGAAATTGCGCACGCAATTTTACATGCACATATCGGGATTTATAATAAATAAACTTGCCGTAAATATGTATGCATCGTACAGACATTCTAGACCAGGGTTCCTCAAATCTTGCCCTGGAGGTCCAATGCGCTGCAGAGTTTAGCTCCAACCCTGATCAAACTCGCCTACCTGTGACTTTCTAATGATCCTGAAGACATTGATTAGCATGCTCAGGTGTGTTTGATTAGGGTTAGAGCTAAACTCTGCAGGAAAGTGGATCTTGTGGGCCAGATTTGAGGATCCCTGTTCTCTCTTTTTCCTGGAGTGAGAAAAGTAATGAAGTAAACAACGATTTTAAAATTTGTTTTCATTTCTATATACACATTTACATTAAATATCCCACTCTCATTAATGGAGATAAGCACTGAAATTATGTAAAGTCATTACGCAGAAGTTGAACAAAAATTATATGAATTTAGACATATTTAGTGGATGCGCTTGATCACTTTTCCTGTGGCATGCTGTTTTAATGACAGCAAGGAGTGCTATAGGTGCACAATAATTCATATTTAAACTAAACTGCAGATCTCATGTTATGAGAAAATATTTTAGTGAGAACAATGATCAATGATGCGCACTTCGATATTAGGGCGGACACTGCTGGATTCAGTGGTCGAATGCATGTTTTCTTTTTAAAATAGGCTACTTTGTCAGTGACGTGCCATGTCAGACAATTCTATTTACACTGCAATAAATATAGGCTAAAAATAGCTAAAAGATGTTAACCTTATCAGCAAAACTGCATACATTTATTTTGATTTAAATTCTTTAAAACAACTGAAATACTATTCGGCCAGTGGAAAAGAATGAGATCAACTCTATTCTAAAATATTTATCTGTTTATCTACTATTTTAAACCATTTAGTTTTTATGGATTTTGATATATTTATGCTAAAACATAAGGAAACTGGATGATTTTTAGCAATAAAAATTGTGTATGGCACAAATGGCATTTATAGTGCGTATCTCATATTTCCTTCATGTCTTGTACCTTTAATGGTGTTAAATATGGTGTCACGTCGATGGAATATGCATGGAAATATGCATTACTGTCCTTTTATGAATCTCTCTCTTAATGTTGAGGCCATTGAGGGCAGGGGAGAGTGTGAATTTTAGCATCTCTACATGCTCTTCTAATGCGAGTGTGTGCATGCTGAGTAGCTATCTGGGCTAAAGGAAAGACGACCTCTGTGCAGAGGATTTGATTTTTGAGCTTGTGCCAAACCTCTACTAATTTCTTCTTGATCCCACTCACTGGTCTTAAGCACCGGTGAGCTTACTGATTTTACGTTCATTATGTTTATGGTAGTGTTGTCACGGTACCAACATTTCAGTATTCGGTACCAATACCAGTGAAAATGCACAGTTATCTGTACCAATTTTGGTACCAAA